TCCAATCTCTTTTTAAAAAACTTCCAGTGATGGAACAGCCAAAACCTCTGGAGGAAAGCCATTCCACTGATTGTTCTCCCTGTTAGGAAATTTCTCCTTAGTTCTAGGTTGGATCTCCCCTTAATAATCTTCTACCCATTACTTCTTTTCCTGCCCTCAGGTGCTTCCTCCCCCCCACTTTTTTTGGTCCATTATAGTCAGTGGCCCAGAAAAACTTGTGAACTCATGTATAACCGATTTATTTTGCTACCTTGCATGACAAGCATTGTCCATCTAATCATTTCAAATTGGGAGTTGCCACAAAGAAGAGGGAGTCAAGCTTTTCTCCAAAGCACCTGAAGGCAAGACAAAAAGCAACGGATGGAAACTAATCAAGGAGGGAACCAGCCTAGAACTAAGGAGAAATTTCCTGACAGTGAGGACAACTAATCAGTGGAACAATCTGCCACCAGAAGTTGTGAATGCTCCAACACTGGAAGTTTTTAAGAAGAGATTGGACAACTATTTGTCTAAAATGGCATGGGGCTTCCTGCCTGAGCAGGGGGTTGGACTAGAAGACCTCCAATGTCCCTTCCAACTATTCTATTCTATTCTATTCCTATTCTATTCTATTCTATTCTAATATCTATTCTGTTCTGTTCTATTCTAATATCTATTCTAATATCTACTCTATTCTATTCTATTCTATTCTATTCTAAATATGGAAATGTATCTTAGATGGAACTTCCCTTTTTGGGGGGTTTGGAACAATTGATTCTCACTGTTCCCACCCAAATGGCCCTGAGAGTACCAATAACAAAATAGGATGATAAAGGAAAGAAGAGGAAAAAAATGCTACTAAGCTAATATTTGTAATGGCATTTCAGTCTGTTTCTTAACTGTTTCTTTGTCAAAATATTTTTTGCTCCCAGAAATGTCTGTCTGTGGACAGGTCAAGCGTGTTTGGTAATGGGCAGCCTACCTCAGTGGAAGTCAGCTTGAAACTTTTGAATCTAACATCTGTCTTCAGAGTGGAGCAGCTGGCATGGTGGGTGCTAAATAAGCCTTCAGAAGCAACTGAATGTCTCAGCAGAGCTTGGCCATCTGCCATGTGCGCACGCAACAGCAACTATAGCAACAGCAACTATAGAAGGAACTTTATGGTCCCTCTTCAAACAACAAGTTATCGCCAAGGTGTTTTGCCATCCTTGAAAAGTCTGTATTATCATCAAAACAATACCTTATGAATATCCTTGTAGGTCACCATGAGACTTGCCATAAACAATTGTGTATTTTTATCATGGTTTGTTGAATAAACCACAACTTTTTAGCAACACACGTAGCCCAAACCAAGGAAACCACATTCCTGCTTAATGGAAGGCATGAATCCAGCCAAAGTTAGGCCAAAATGTGCATTCTTCCTCTTTCAAGGAAGGAGGAACTTCCTCTCCTCAAAAAAAATGTGAGCTGCTTAGAGAAGAGCAGTGGAAGGATCCCAAATATTGAAGCAGCCCTTCTTCTCTGAAAAGCACTTTTTTTTTAGTTTAGAAAAACAAACCCAGTCTAGCCTATGACAGAGGTCCATAAAGTGGTGTTAAGATGTTTGCCTTGCTCTTCTGCATATTAAGACTGGGGTGAATTGTCAGAGCGATTTATTGGCAGCTGGGTTGAGGACCTACAGTATGTAAGAAAGCCCATGTCCCTAGACTTTGGATCTCATTCCCTCAATAGCTCAACCAGGAAGGCTTTGGAAAGTACATTCTATCTATTCATGAAGGGAGACAGGTAAATGGGCTTGAACAATGGCTAACAAGCATATCATCCATGGCTGAAGATGGCAGACATCAGCTTGCTAAGGGAAAGAAACAAGACGTATTCTAGTTATGAATCCACTTGCTCTGATTGAAGGCAGACCTTGAAGAGAAGGCTTCTGGCCCAGGTAGGTTAGATGCTAAGAGCTTCACCAGAATTCACTGTGAGGCTAAAGCTTGACTACTAACCCCTTAGATTTCAAATGATGAAATGGGACCACAAATGTGTATTTATTTGGATCTGTATTGAGGACATTTTCCAGTATTCCAGGGATGACTAGAAGGAACAACTGTCTCTCTGGGCTTGTAACATTCTTATTCAAAGCTCTTCTCTGTCTGCTGCAACACAAAAGTTGGGCCTCCAATTGCACAAGGAAATAAATTCTTATTTGCCATCTAAAGCCTTTCAAAGAGGTGGCCCACCAGCTTCACCAACCACCAACAGGAGTCATAGCCTTATATTTTCTAGAAATATACCAATATTGGTACATTCTGTTAGTCAAAACCCTTCTTTTGATGTGTTCACATCATGCTAAACCCAGGTTAACAAAACACAAATGCACTCTTCACCAAACAAACCATCTTTACCTTCAAGAAAATGAGTCAAGCAAGATGCTAACAGAAAGGTTGAGTTCCCCCCAATATAGTGAAACACAAGCTATCTAACCCTGTTTTAGAGCTTTGTGCGAATCCAGAAGTTCTGCTGTAGCCTCTGGATGCAATTCTCAGAACCATAAAACCCATACTAGCTGGGAATTCTGGGATTTGCAGTCTGAAAGTGCCAGAGAAGGCCAAGTCAAGAAAGAGAATTCAATTATACAGGCAAGTTGTGAACTAGATGCTGCTTTGACTGTCTCTCTGTCTGTCCATTCATCCATTCACCCATGTATCTATGATAATATCAATAGGCTAAATGTATTAGGGGTTTCTATAGGCCATCTTTGGATAACTTAATTCAAACCAGAGTTTTACTTCTTATTATCTGCAGACCCCACCATCTTACCCTATTTGATTTATATGAGAAATTGGAGAGCCACTGTTAAAAACAGTTCTCTAAATTAAGTCTTTTTTTATTATTCAGGAGCTCTCAAGAAAAAATGTTTAAATATTTATTTATAAGTAGTTAGAAACTAATTTGCCTTGAAAACTGCCAGTTTTTGTTCATAATCCTGGTATAATTTATTGCTTTACAACAGTGTTTTTCAAAGTGGGCAACTTTACGATGTGTGGAGCTGAAGTTCCAGAATTGTCCAGCCCCACAAATCCACACATCTTAAAGTTGCCAAGCCTCTCATTGACATCAAGGTGACTAGATTGGAAGTTCTGCAAATCCTTTTTAACACAAATCAAAAACTAGAGATGAGAGACAAGACCAAGTAAGGCACAAGTAACAAAACAGTCTTTGCTAACCCTTTCCCCTCACTCAAATTCCTTCAAATGTCTTTAGAATACTATAATCAGCTTCCAAATGAGGGAGGTTATGAATGCTGAATATAGTAGCTCAAGGCATCTAAAGAAGTGTCATATTTAGTGTATTTAATCAAAATCTGTGAATTTATAAAACTCACATTGTACCGAATCTTATTTAACAACAACAGAATGTTGTGGTTCTCGTGCTACTTTGAACCATGAACTCACCAAACAGCCTGGGGCCACACAACAAATTCAACTGGATATTTTTTTTACTACTGTGACTAAATCTTATCTAGCATATCACATGATATGAAGACAGGTAGAACGTTATGGAGACCTATTACCAGTGCTTTTTTTTTTTTGAAAAAAAAAAAGGTGCCAGAACTCATATATGTCATACAACCCGCCTTGCCTACCCTACAAGGTTCCATCCAAAAAAGGTGCTGGAACTCCATTCTGGGCGTTCTATGACAAAAAAAGCTCTGCCTATTACTAACTGGTTAAAATATACTAATATATTAATCTGGCATTATTTGCATCTGACTAGTTGGTTAATAAAATATTTGCAAGCAAATTACGAAGCTCAGCCCCAAGAACTCCACAGCTAAGCCCTGAGCTACATCTATTCTATATTTTAATATTAGCCTTAATGCAGCTGTAACTAATTCTCTTATTACCTGCTCTAGTTTTAGCATCAAGGGAAACAATTTTCCAGAATGTCTGAGGCGCAGTTTTATAAAATCATGTGCAATCTCTTTCTCCTGCCTTCTTGGTTAAATCCATTGTTATTAACATACTGGAGGGTACTCTATCAAGAGATCAAACGTCTTTTCTGCTTCTTAGATTCTTGCATTCTGAGGGGCGTCTAGCCTGCTATGCAAGAGACCCTTTTATCCTGAGCACCCATTTGAAATGTTAATGGCGGTTAGCCTGGAAATGAACCCAGGTGAGTGGGATCCTTGCTGTAAAAGTCCCTCTGGTGACCGAAATCTTTCCATGCCCGCAAGCCTTGCTCCTTAAATGTCAGTTCGGTCCTGCTGTCATGCAAATAAATTTTAAGAGGTGTAAAGTTCACCATTCTGGGTTGATTTCAAGTGCAGGGGGCTGATGCAGACTCACAGGTATTTAGAGGAAGCTTTGAAATAAAGGAGACTATCTGTAGCTCAGGGCTGAACCCAGGGGGTCCTCTGTGCTCTCTGAGCTTGCTTGTTTTCTCGCAGATGTTTCCTTATCCAAGCCAGGTAACCTCATCACTGCTAATAAGGCTACCTAGTTTGGGTAATGAAACATCTGCAAGACAACAGAGAGCACCGAGGACCCCTCAAGCTTTGAAATAAAGAGGATTGTGGTGAAGATTGTAATGTGCATTGTGTATGGCAAGAAAACAGTGTTGGTCTGCAGGAGTGCCAAAATCAGCCTTTTTTTCTGATTTATTCCTGAGCTGCAGTGCCAGAAGGATTGTTTAGCTGGTTTGCATTCAAGCCTCCAAATCCTGACTTTTTCCGGAGCAGATCCCACTCGGTGCCACAGCAATTCTATCCCTTATCTGGTATCAGGAGCTGAAGGTTTTTTGTTTTCCAAAAAGTCAATTTCTTCCTCTTCCAACCCATTTTTCCGTATTCACCCTTCCCCTTAAAGGAGCCTTTTTTAATGAATACATCATGTGATCATTTGCCAGGAGAACCAGATGAGAAAACCCCACTTCAGTTTGGGATAATGTGTCCCTTTGGTTTCAGAAAGTGGCCAGCACCAGGAAAGGCTTTGGAGAGGGGGGGGGGGGTTAGGCTGCCAACATACCTGTTGAAGTAGATTGGGCTGTTTTCCTCATCCATTCGTAGGAGCCGTGCCGCTGGTTGAGGGGAGGAGAATTTGCCTCGGAATTCATGGTGTCCAGAGAAGGTAAAGTCAGAGAACCAGCAGGATTCAGGGAACTGTAATCAGCAGAAGAGAAGGAGACTTGTCCAGGAGAAGACCTGTTGATCTGGGTGGAAGTTATGGTGCTGGAGGTTCCTAGGCCATAAGCACCCCAATCCTCCCTGGGCAGCCCGTAATGTGTCCCCCATGTCCCTGAAGATTGTCCACGATTCTCCATACTTTGGGGATGATGGTATCCTATGTAATCTACATAAGGTGTAGAAGAAGGAAAGTTTTGTGCTGGTAGATTGCTGCTGCCGTTGCATCGTACAGAACCTGGATACATCCTGGCTTCTTTTTCCAAAATATAACTCACATAGATGAAGTTCATCCCCTGGTTTCTTCTTGGCCAGGCATCCTGCTCCCTGTGGGAGGGGAGGCTGATTTCACACGTCCTCTTCTCTCTCCCTCTCTCTCTTTTTCAAGCCTAAACCTAGAGTGGCTTTGCCGACGATTCAGGAGGTGTCTTTACTACCCATCCTTGACAATAGGATCCCCGGTGCTGGGCTAGCAGTGGATTGAGGTTCTGCCTAATGTCAAAGATAACTGGCTACTCCCAACCATTTGCATTCAAATGAAGGGTTGGTCATCCTGCAACCCCACCTTAGAGTTGGCTTGCTGATTTCTCATGGAGCCTTCCAGCCCTGGGCCAGGCACGGATTCAGTGTGTTTGTTCTGGGAATCTTGGGAAAAACAAAGTACAACTAACTCCAGGCTAAGTCATAATGTGATTTCTTTGATTTGGGATTATTTATTAGGGTTGTGTGTCATCCATCTCATCTAGAGGCAATTCTGAGTGACTTGCCAACATTAAAACCAGTATCCGTTAAAGGGATAAACCAATAAATCACAATAATAATGAGAGTTTATCAGTAAAAGATGGGAGGAAAAGGGAGCGCGAAAATTAGCATTGTATAGGAATCCAGTCAATGTGGTTTGTAACTCGTTGGTCATCATTGTAGGTGAGCTTTTAAACTTATTCAATATTCCTCTCATTCCAGATGTGATAGATCTTTATGTCACAAAGAGCAAAAGCTTTTAATTGTAGATAGATGATCCTATGTTCAATTGCAATTAATGGCACAGCTCAACAGTTGAATGAATGTGTGCATGGAAAGGCATTTATCTGCAATTTCATGAAAAGATGTCATAAAATTATTTTTAATGAAAGAAATAAGGAAGAATTTAAGGTACATCTGGCAGACAAAGCTTGTGATTAAAAAAACAAAAGAAAGTTATGACACAAACCATTTCATCCTCTTCATTCTTCAGGGTTATAGCAGCTGATTTGTATTCTCCGAGAAGTTGGAGAAAAATATTGGGGTGTAAAATGTTTTGACACTGTTTCTTGATGAGCAACCAAAACATCATAAGAAGGGATGGGAAAAAAAAATAAAAAATTTCCTTAAGGATGTGCTACTTAGTTGACTTTTGTGAATGACCTGACACTTTTGAGGGAACTCTGCCTTAAAGAGGTGAAAAGTGTTTGAAGATTGCTTTTCTTTAAGCAGCTTGAGATGTTTGGCTTCTAAATTTAGAGGCATTTTTTTAACTGTGTGGAGTGAATAGATTTGTTGTTTTCTGCTTTTTTTTTTTTTAAAAAAAATAAAGATTCCTACATCAGCTGGGAAAAGCTTTGGAATGGTTTTGATGATGTAGTTTCTGGAATAACCTCACGTGAAGAATTAATTTATAGGCTGTACAGGCAGGTCCAGTCTGAGAGACCAGAAATAAAATATTTACTCGTGTGCTTTTCTGCCTGTGTTGTTTTTAGTCCATTGAAGTCAGTGGTCCAGTAATCCTGAAACCTAAATGATGTTTTTTCTTTGTTGAGTGCAAGACATTGATGGATCTGATCATTTCAAATATTAAATTATACTTTTGGCATTTGTGGAATTTAGTACAGTCCCTCTCCAACTCCCTAAAATTTATTCTTGATATACAGAATAAATGAATAAGTTTCTGAATGGAATTTCCTATTTTACCTTATAAGCTGTGCTCTTTTATATGATGTCCTGATTGTTTAGATCAGGGGTGGCAATTTAAGACCTGTGGACTTCAAATGGCTGGGGAATTCTGGGAGTTGAAGTCCACAGGTCTTAAAGTTGCCAAGATTGGACACCCCTGATTTAGACAGAGTATTTCCCTGTTTTTAGCAGACTCTGCCATCGGTGTTGATGAAGGATAGGACAAATACTGGATTCACACATTCATATACATTTAGTTATGGTTTGAGGGGTCCCTAGTGCTCTCTGAGCTTGCTGGTTTTCTTGCAGATGTTTCATGACCCAAACTAGGTAACATCATCAGTGCTAATAGTGCTAGTTTGGGTCATGAAATGTCTGCAAGAAAACAAGCAAGCTCGGAGAGCACCAAAGACCCCTCAATTCAACCCTGAGCTACAAATATTCTCCTTTATTAGTTATGGTTTGCTTAATAAGCTTCAAATGGGCTAGGTTCATAACGGTGAGCCCTAAATTCTGGTATAGCAGTCACAATGGGTTTGCACAATAAGTTAAAACTAAAGAAACTATATTTACCTTACCACAAAGAAGTTGTGGGAATATACCCACGTCAGGATACAAATTACTACACTGTAGAACTACCAACTGGGGGGTGGAAGTAGAAATTGACTGGGATCCTGATCTGCTTCATTTAATGTGCTTCTCCATCTCTAACCTTCGGTGTTAGGACAAAGTGGATCACCATTGTATTGCTGACTTACAGAACTAGATGAATCTCTAAATAAGATGTAATTGTTTGTGCCTCCATAAGTTGTGGGAACGCTACCATAGTCTAGTATGTTGTGGGAACTGTTTAACAGCAGATGGCAATACTTAGCAAAGCTGAGCCATGTTGGCGAGCTGGAGAGACGTATTGAAATTTGGCTAATAGGAAACCAGGTTTAGATGGAGGAGAACCAAATAGGAATGATCTGGTAATGGTACTTTTGAAAAAGAGGTTAGAAATGTAGAAGGTTGCAAACTGTGCACCAGCAGTGATGACGTGGCTGCAGAAAAGAGCTAAATGCAGTTTCAGGCCACATCAATAGAAGTGTAATTTCCAAAGGACAGGAAATTCTTATTTCATGTTATTCTGCCTTGGCTTACAGCATCTTGACTATGCTGTCCAGTTAAGAAGGATTCAGAGAAATTAAGTCCTATGAAGTGGGATGGGAAGTTCAGGGCATGTTTAACCCTGAGAATAATAGAATAACAGAGTTGAAAAGGGATCCTGGAGGTCTTCTAGTTCAACCCCCTGCTCAAGCTGGAGAAAAGATGGCTGGGTGGGGATGTGTGTATTAATACGGCCACTATGTCACTGTAACCCTCCTTAATTCTTGTTAATTTCTGAAGACTTTGGGCAGGCAGGGAAGGAAGGAGAAAAGGTCTCCTCAAAATTGAAAGGGTCTGGTGGACATTCTTGTTTAGTATACGGGGAACCCCTTATGGCAAAACCATGGCAGGACTCGCTTCGTAGAAACTCTACAAACACACCACTTTAGTGAATAGCCCGGGACTTCCTTGTTTGCTGTCATAAACCCACCTGGTTTTCTTTTCTTTCACTGCTTCTTTGGTAACTAATTTGCTTCGGAAAAAACTCTAGAGAACAAAACAATGACCTCTGTCCCTTCCCCCAGGCAGATGTGCCCATAAATCACCAAAGGAAGAAAGTGGATCCCCCCCTCCTTTACTATGGCATCAGATCTAGCTTTCCAGCAACTGCTCGTTTCTAAGGTAATTGTTCAACCTGGGATTCTTTCTTGAACCTTTTCCTATCTCCTCATTTTTGAGGCTAAAATTCTCTGGCATTATGGCTTGCTCATTCCTCTTTTTTGGCGTGGGGAGATGAGAACGTGGCTTGATTTCAAATGAATGTCAGCAGCATTTTGTTTCATCCATGGGCCAATCTGTGAGATTAGGTCTCAAGTGAGGAGAGATTCAGGAAAGCCACCCTGTGTGGTCATTTAATTGTGCAGCCATCATACACAACCTGAGTAGAACAGCTTTGGGATTAAATTACTGAGAACTTAAATACCTACTTGAGATAGTAAGCCCATCCATTAGCTTACTCCTGGATCCCCAATGTGGCACCTGTGAGTGAGAAGTCCACCAAGATTGGTTGATCACTAAGCAGGTCCACGTCCACCTATTTTTATTTCTTTCTTCTTCTTCTTGCGCCATATCCATTATCGGACGTTGGCGATCATGTTGGCGATCCTGTTTTTATCAGCAGCCGCATGAAAAAGTGCTGCTGAGTTTTGTCCAAACCAGTCCCTTAGATTTTGAAGCCATGATGTTCTTCTTCTGCCTGGACCTCGTTTGCCTTCCATCTTTCCCTGGAGGATTAAATGGAATATGCTGTATTTTTCTGGGTGTCGCATCACATGTCCGAAATATTCTAATTTTTGTTTTTTAATTGTTTTGATGATTTCCATTGGCTTTCCCAGGCGGTTGATCACCTCCTCATTTCTGATCTTCTCAACCCAGCTTATACATAACAGCTGCCTGTAAATCCACATTTCAAATGCTTCTAGTCTCTTCAGGTGGCCTTCTGTCAGAGACCGACTCTCTATTCCATACAGCAGGGTAGAAAAAATATAGCATCTGACAAGCCTGATTTTGGATGGGAAAATAGCAGGCTAGCAAACAAAGCATTAGCTTTAACCTAATCTGGAATTCCAAGTGTAACTTTGAACCCCACGTAGACCCCAGAATATAAGGGGCTGAAGGAAAATGCTTTGGTTTGAAAGGTGCTGAATGCCTGGAAAGAAATCAGGGATAAACCGAGATGGTAGAAAGCACTCTAAAGGGAGAAGGTAGAGAGCAATTAACCAAGTTCCCTTTTGAGAAAGAAATATTTTGCAATGGGCCATATTCAATATAGCAGCCATTTTGTGAGACTGCCCAAAATACATTTCCTATATTTCTAATGGATTAAAATGTTTGGGGAAACCTTGCTTAAGCCACGTTTGAATTAAACCAGTTTTTGTTTCTATGATGATATTTATAGCTAAACCGTGCTTTTTAAATCCATGATTTCTGAAGGAAAAACCACAACTGGGTTTATGGAGAGTTTTGTTTATTTGTTTGTGCATTCAAGCTAACGTTGATTCCTGGTGATTACCTGGATAAATCCCTTGGTTTCAGAAGTAGTTTGCCATTGCCTCATTCCTGGGGCTGAGAGAGACTGTCTGGCCTAGAGTCACCCCAATGGCTTTGTGCCTATGGCAGACTAGAACTCAGAGTCTCTTGGTGCCTTGGCTCTAACTACTAGACCAGGGGTGTCAAACTGCCGGCCCATAGGCCGGATGCG